GGCACAGTGGGTTAAAGCACAGCACTGTGAGGCTGGCTATGGTCACTTCAGTGCAAGTCCGATCACCTGTCCCGAGGTGACCCACATGGCACCACAGACCTCTCCTGACCCTCCCGCTGCTCCCGTCAGCAGTGTACTGCCTGTTCTGCTCCCCACTCTGACTATGGTGAGTCCTCTCACTGCCACGACACCTCTGGCCTGCACCCCAGTTCTGTATGCATACATGCATAAGTAAATAAATTTTTTTAAAAATCCACAGAGGCTGGGTACTCTGAAGAACGGCTGAGGAGAACTGCACATCAGAGGCTTACTAGAGAGTGCTCTCGGGCCTCTCTGTGCATCGCAGAGAACCGAGCTGCACTGCAGTGGCTCATCAACCCCACAGGGGAACTCTAGAATAGGATCTTGCTAAGTAGGCTTTGGGTTATTCCTAGAGGGAATCCGCTATGAGTGACCAGCAGGCAACAGTCTGGCAGCTGAGGAAATGAGCAGGGTACATCGTGACATCTGCAAGCATCTACTGTTGATGCCAACTGAACCTATTGGCTATCGACACGAACACTGCCCCCCTCCCCCAGAAACGAATCATCCCTATGTGGTTTCTTTGCTGGAAGGAAGAAAATATAAAAGAGCTAGATTTATGGGATGCACGCAGTTCCTGACACAAAAGCTGGCCTTGTGCAGCAACTTAGATGTGCTTTCTCCCTCCTATATTCCTCGCTCTAGATTTTCCATACTTTTAGCCAACACACCTGCTGGCACAGGTGACTTACCTGAAATTCTGATCTAGATCTATGTCTCTGAGTTGTTCCAGTCTCTGGCTAGTCTACCTTCCTCAGGCCATGCCTGCTGTGCTTTCTGTAAACAGTCAACATTAGTAAGTGGCCTATTGATGAATGACGTCAATGCCAAACATCGTCCCTCTGCCCTGCCCCGCCCTGTTGTGTAAGCACAGATGAGTTCTTCCTCCCCCAATACACAGGGCGCTTATTCTGCAGCATGGCAACTCATTCCCTTAGATGTTAAACTCCTAAAATAAGGGACTGGCTTTCCCCCTCGGAACGGGAACCTTTAGATTCACAGAGTCTAACATTCAGGGATGGAAATCATAACTCTGGGTCAAAGGCAGTGATGTCAGTTGAATGACCCTGCCTGGGTTTGAAGACTTACACATTCTACTTGCTGGGGGTAGAACACTGTACAGAGGTGCCCACGTAGGGCATGGTTTCCACCTGCAGGAGGGCATCTGGCTCTTGCTGTTGCCATCCCACCGAGGGGCACACTGACTGCTACGTTCGCCTGAATGTAGGAGACTCAGAGCCCCGAGAAAATGAAACAGAAGCCTGGAGTCCGGAGTCCGGAGTCTGTATTTAGGACAATCACGAGTATATATAGGGTCTGACATGACTTGTACGTGGAGAAAAACAGGAAGTGTACCCTACACAGGGCTGGAGTGTATGTTTGCACCAGGCCTGGGGTTCTTGCAGTTTCTGCTAAAAAGAAGGTAGGGGGCTGCAGCTGCTCGCAGAACAGAGTGTACTGTGCTCTGCTGGCTTGTCTGTTGGCCTTACGGGGGAGTGTGCTCACCCACGCACAACCTCAGCCAGGGCGGACAGGTGCACTTGAGGTCCTTGAGTTAGCCACAGGCCTCATAGGACTCTCTCCTTCCTAAACCAGGAGAAGGGGTTTGTTGGTCATTTCAGGAAACAGATTCTTTGTTTTACGGAGATAGGTCTTCAGTTTAGAGTCAAAGTTTTGCATGTTAAATTCTCCAAATGTGGTATTGTATTTTACCTGATTTGTATTAAAATGTATATACTTCAAGAATTTGCCAGAACTTATATAGAATTCTTGTGCTATCTTGAAACATCACCAAAAAATCTTTGCGCACAGCCATGTTTCCAGCTAATTTCTCCATGGTGATTAGAATTAAGTCCAGAACAGTAGTTTACCTCATTGCTGCCCCTGCTATCTGAGCAAGGATTTTTTTTTTATATAATAGTTTATTTTTCCATCATTTTGTACATTTTTCCATCTCAGTTGTAATCCCCGGGGGCTTCCCATCACCAAATCACTCTGTGCCATCACCATAGTCCAGGGCATTTCCTCCCCCACCCCCACTTTTGATCCCATCCCCCACTCCACCCCCATAAAATGTCTCTGGTGTATAGCTGTTTATTATTATTACTATTATGTTCTCGCCTGGTCCCTTATACTCCTGTGCAAGGATATTTTTAACAACACTGTACCAAACACCCAGCTTGTAGAAAAGTATCTTTAATGATCACTGAACAACTGACGACTTTCCTGCTCTGACTTGCTTTTGTGCCATAATCTTCAATAAGTAAAGCAACACCCACGTTACTTCAGGCTGGAACATTTCTATTCCACACCCACCTTTCTCACTTTCTTGATAATAAATGGTTTCTCTGGGTTCCTCCCATGGGTTAATCTTTGAATAAAAGTCCATAAAGTCCATGCTTTGGTGCGGCAGACCTCTCCTGACCCGCCCGCTGCTCCCCTCAGCAGTGTGCTTCATTGATCTGCCTGTTCTGCTCCCCGCTCTGTCTCTGGTGAAGCCTCTCACCCTCCGCATCTCCGGCCTGTACCCAGTTCTGTACGAATAAATAAATAAATCTTAAAAAAAAAAAAGTCCATGCCTTCATGTGCATTGTTCTGGGTTCTCGCTCTAATATTTACTTTAGCACTGTGTTTAAATCTCAGTGATATTTCTGAGACTTTTTAAATATATTCATTACATCATCCTTCATTTCCGTACAATGTGTGATTCCCCTGTGAAATTCCTACCACCAGCTCACCTGTGCACCATCCCACAGTCCCTTGTGTTCTTCCCTCCCCTGTCCTGGGCCTTCTCCTACATCCTCCCCTGCAAAATGTCTATTTTTTTTAAGATTTATTTATTTCTGCATATAAGAACAGGGGTACAGGCCAGAGAGGTAGGGGGTGAAAGGACTCACCAGAGACAGAATGGGGAGCAGAACAGGCAGATCGATGAAGTCCACTGCTGAGGGGAGCAGCGGGCAGTCAGGAGAGGTCTGCCACGCCATGTGGGTCACTTCCCTGGCCGGGGATGCAAATTGTGTTGCAGTGGCTGTGACAGCTTCACAGTGCTGCACTGTAACCTGTTATGCCACCAGGGAAGGTGCCCAGAATGTCTATTTCTGAGATTATCTTGACCATCTGATATTAAGCCATACCCCTGTCATTAAAATGATGCAGAACTTATTTCTTTTATTTTTTTCCCCATACATTTCAGGATTCTGCCCCAAATTGCCTCTTCCCACTTACCATACTTGCTATTATCTATATCATCTCATTTTACAGTTAACGCTTTTGTTTGTTTTTTCTCATTTCTGTTCAAACTTTATTAATCATGGTGTTAAATAATTAACCAAAGATATGTTTCTGACATTCCTGGAATATGTGTCTTTCTCAAGCTATTTGATATTTGTGGCTATAAATCTTCTGATACTATCTGTGTGCCAGTTTATTTTTTCATATCCTTTTATCTTCACTGGAGGGGTGACTTAAAGCAGAAATTGGGAAAGAAAATACAATATATGCTCACATGGGTTTCTATGTCCAGGCTGTAGCTATAAAGTTACAAGAAATCCAAGAGACTTCTCCCACACATTCTACAGCCAATCAATAGCAGTAGGTCAGAGTTCACAGGTCCACTTTGATTTGTCAAGCATTTGGTTAGAACACTAAAAATATAGCACACAAGATTACAGTCTGAATAGAGTGGTCAATAACAATCCACAAATAGGATTAACCTCTCCTCTCACCACCAACCTAAAAGATGACCTGAATATTTTATTTGATGAAGCTAGATGATTGTCTTGATGAAACTATTCATCAAGGCTTCTGTCACTCATTAGGAAAATGTAATGAGACACACTCGTGGATATTTAAAATGTCATCATAACTAAACAAACGATAGTAATTTATGTACAACCTGAAAAATGGCTAATTTATATGTCAAGTGTTAAGAATTTGTTGGGGGGCCTCCTTGGTGGCATTAAAGTCTCAGTGCTACCAAGCTTTCCCAGCCACTGCAGCGGGATCCCCACCCAGAGGTGACCCACATGGCACAGCAGACCTCTCCTGACCCGCCCACTGCTCCCCTCAGCAGTGTACTTCCATAATCTGCCTGTTCTGCTCCCCACTCTGTCTCTGGTAAAGCCTCTCAACACCCCTGCACCTCTGGCCTGTACCCCAGTTCTGTATGCATAAATAAGTAAGTCTTTTAAAAAAAGAAATGGAATATAAATTATTCTTTTTGGACTGGCTCCTTTCACTCAGTAAAATGCTTTTGATTGGCTTATTGCTGTGTGCGTCAGTATTCAGTCCTCTTCAATGTTGATTAACGTTCCATTTTGCAAGTGTATCTCAATTTGTTACCCAATAGTTGAATGATTTTTAAACATTTTACGGACTTGTGTCCTCCGCTAATATGGCTGTCATGAAAGCTCACATCATTGGTAAACTTAATCAAGCACCCTCCCTGGTGACGCAAGGGGTCATGCCTCAGAGTTTTGGCAAATGTGGCACTCTGAAGTTGCAGTCACTGCACAGCAGCCACAGCCACTTACCCCCAGCCACTGCAGCATGGGTTCTATCCCCAGCCAGGGAGTGACCCACAGGGTGCAGCAGACCTCTCCTGTCTCGCCCCCTGCTCCCCTCAGCAGTGTATTTCAGTGGATCTGCCTGTTCTGCTCCCCACTCTGTCCCTGGTGAATCCTCTCACCCTCCACATCTCTGGCCTGTACCCCAGTTCTGTATGCATAAATAAAAAAAATCTTTAAAACACAAATCAAGTCACATGTCTAAAGTCACAAAGTTGTGAGCGTACCTGGGTTGGATGGAGTCTCCTGGGAAGGGCGGTCACTGTGCGCCAAGTAACCTAGTTAAGAATGATCAAGCTAAAGGAAAGGCTCATTTTCTTCTGCCCCACCCCAACCTTCTTGTCATTTCAGACTCCTAAGGGACTCTGTGCTACGGCAGTGAAGGCGGCCATTGAAGCGGGGTACCAGCACTTTGATGGGGCTTATGTCTACCAGAATGAGCACGAAGTGGGCGAGGCCATCAGAGTGAAGATCGCAGAGGGAAAGGTGAAGAGAGAGAATATCTTCTACTGTGGAAAGGTGAGTATTCCCCGTGGCCCACATATCTCCTTAGATAAGGTGTCTCTTGGGTCATTTTTCTCTGGTAAAGAATGTTGGATTCACGAAGGAGTTCTTCACTTCTGTCAAGAACTTAGGCACTCATTAGCTTTTGAAGTTGAGAAAAAAGCTCTGTCTTCACACAGGAGCATTGAGAGAAGATACTATGGGGCACAGACAAATCTGCCAAGCCCACAACTGTGGAGCGGAAGGAAGGAGGTGATTCACATTTGCCAAAACTCTTTAGAAGAGCAGTTTTCTTTTTCTTTTGTGTATACTTACTCATATTATCACAATTCTTTTAACTGAATCTTTTTTATTGGGGTAACACAGGTTTAAAACACTGTTGAAGATTTAGGGGTAGAATTTCACACATTCAGGTCTATGTTACCACACCATGCCCACCACCCAAACACCACTAATCCTCCACCACAGTCCATTGGTTTCCCTCTTGCTGTTCCCCACTGCCTACTCTCCCTTTCTGGTAGTCTCAGTTGTACCTTAAACTTTCTAGGGTTTGTTTTGGTTTAGTTTTGTATGTGCCTTTGACTTGTTTTGTTTTTACATGCCACAAATGAATGAAATCACCCAGTAATTGTTCGCACTCTGACCTTGCTTCTCACAATCCCTTCCAGTTCCATTCATATTATCATGAGGAGAGATTTCATCTTTTGGATAGTTAAGTAGTATTCCATTATAGATGTGTGTGTATTACATAGACGTATATGTAATATATGTACTACATATACATATATGTAATATACACATACACAAACAACATGTTAATCCATTCATCTTTCATTGAGCACGCCATTGTTTCTATAACTTGGTTATTGTAAATAGTGCTACAATGAACACAGAGTGCATGTATCTCCTTGAATTGGTGGCTTGATATTCGTCTACCACTGGCCATCCAAGTTGCTCCCTTAACTATTTTTAATATTTTGAGAGCTCTCTATACTGTTGTCCATAGAGGTTAAACCAGTCTACCTTTCAACCAAAAGCATGTGAAGGTTGCTTTTTCTCCAATTCTATGCCAACACTTGTTTCTAATTTTGTCTTTTGCTTTTGTTTTTATTTCTTCAAATGGGCCATTCTCACAGATGTAAGGTATAACTACAAGTTATACCTGTAACTATAATAGAGGTGTAACTAAAATAAGGTATCTTATTGTAGTTTTGACTTGCATGTCCTTACTGATAGCATACCATACAGTTCAACATTTTAACCAGTAGTTTGTAATATATTCACAAAGCAGTGCACTCACCTAATTCCAGAATATTTTTATCATTCCATAAAGAAACCTCACACACTGTCAGTCAATTCTCACTTGTCCTCTCCTGGCACTGAAAATCCCTGGTCTACTTTCCATTTCCATGGTTTCCATTAATACAATATGTGAACTTATGTGTCTTTCACTTACTATCGTGTTTTCCAGGTTTATTCATACAGTTGCATGTATCAGAATTTTATTTCTTTTAGTGTTTGAAAAATATGCTTTTGTATGATAAACTATATTTTTTATTACATCACTCACTACCTTCTGAAAAATGTAAAGCACCAGTGTTAGACTCATGATCCATTGAAGAGCGGCCAGAAAGATAAAGCATCACGATTACAATGAAAGTCAGTGGAAATGGAGGATGCATAGTTACAGGCAGATTTGCAGGAATGAAACTGTACAACTTCAAGGTATTCTCCAGGGAACATGAATCTACTTTCAACTCTACCCTCTCCCCAGGACGCCCCTCTTTCTGGCTCCCTGCTCAAGCTCCCTTCCAAGTTCTTCAGGGAATTGTGGTTTGCTGAGTTACCAGCCACTTACAGTTATGATTCCGAGGTTCACATAGAACCACTGTCCCAAAATATCAATGTGAAGCTTTTCACTTCATTATAGCTTTGCAATTTTGATTCCTAAAGATTTTGTTCTTACAGAGTTTCTCATTAGAGTAAAATGCCAAACCTCAAGCTGGGTTCTCCCAAAATATTTCAAGAGAAGAATAAACTAGTATTTATAGCTTGAATGCCCAAGACCAAGCAGTCTGACCAAAGCCAGAAATATGTTTGGCTTTCTGTCTTTTTCTTTTTTTTAAACTTTTGCATTTAAAATGAAGTTAGTCAACCAGCAGATCAGATGATGACATTAGGCTTTCAAACAGAGATATCAACTTGAATGCAAATAGCGTGGTAAGAAGACAGAAGATAAATTAAAATCTACCTCCCTGGTTAAGAAAGGAAATGAGGTTGGAGAGATTTGGAGGTGACCAGGGTTGAAAACAAAGGAATTCTATTTCACTGGTGAACGAGGAGGGGGCAGAGAATAGGAACTTGGCTGAAGCTCAATGTCTAGTAACAGGGCTGTTCAAACAGAGAAGGAGGAAGAGGTTTCTCTTCAACCATGAGAGTTTTAAGTTCCCTGTTTGTGGGGGTAGTACCCCTTCTTGGCGTTCCCAGTTTCAACTAACTGTGGAGGTCAATGCAAGGTGTTTGTTTCTACTTGTCAGACTATGTCACATAAATGCTTCTGTAAATGCAAGCCTCAAATATAAGTTTGATGTGTGATTCTCTCTTTTGTGCTCTTAGGGTCTGAAAGCAATTTAACTATTTAGTCTCTGTTTCAATATATTCTTCCTTGTTTCTAAGTAGAGATGAGGTTTTTAAATTACCAATAAATAAACCAAAAAAATTTCCTTCCTGTCTCTTTGGCAAACTGTTAATGTTATTGCAATATCTCTCATGTTGAAAAAAAGCAAATTAGAGACTTCTACTTCTTATACTATCCAATGCCAAAGCCATTTTTCTTCCACGTTAGTGTCATAACACTTACAGAATTCTGACACACAAAAATGTAGTATTTATTTATGGCTTCATTATTTTTTTCACTGCTTTATGAGCTTTATTTTGCTACCAGAAAGCACAAAGCTCTGAATATTTTCCGAAAAGGTAATAAAGTATACTGTTTTCAGGTGATTGGTTTTGAAAACAGATGATTTTTATCATCTTGCTGTGTCATATAGCAATTTGAAAGATTCTTACAATTTACCGATCAGTCTACTTTCTCAAGAAAATCCTCATCACATAGTTTTTCTGTTGAAAAATATGTGGCTGATTTTGTTTTTATTTTATTACTATTATTATATTTTTCATCACAGGCAAATGGGCAGACATCTCAAACAACTGATAACATTTATAATCACCTCTATGTGAATCTCAAATTTTATTTCTAGTACAATGGCTTTGTCAAACTCATTAAAAAGTATTCATAGTTTAGTCATAATTGTTGGCTCTTAAGAAGTGTCAACAGTCTTTTAATCATTTTTATTATTAAAGTAAACAATTAATTTTCACTCTTTTTTTAGATCATTTTCCTTTATTGTAAAATATTTTTGGTAAATTTTAACCTGAAACTATAGGCCCAAGACCAAGAAACCATTAACTTTAGTAATTATAGAGAACTGAGCTAATCTGAATACTCTGGAAATTTTCAATTACAATGTTATTGTTGTAAATTAGAATAAATTAAAACAAGTAATTAAATAAGTATATTAAAATAAGTTACCTAGTGATGTTATTTGAAAACAACTATTTCTTTCAGATGCCTTATTTTGATCCAAATCAGTTTCTACCACGTTGAGAGATCAGAAGTATTTTGATTACTTCTACAAAAGTAACAAATTTATGGCATAGGGATTCTGTTAATTTAGCAGTTCTTGACGTTTCTGAAGCTGTCCTTGAACAAACTGAAGGAAAAGTATTGATATGTTTGATCTTAATTCACTCTATTATTTACTTTTAATAAAACAATTGCTTTTTAATTGATTTCAAACAATAATAAGACTTGCCACCTTGAAAACATAGAAAGTCATTACACTAGGAAGTAAAATATATATACAAAGAAGCTGGGGTTGGCAAGAATACAAGTTAAAATCTCCCACAGATGAAAAGTCCCAGTCAATGCTTTCAGGAAAATGGAAGCCAAGCTATCTGTCGACTAACTAGCTATATTATGCCTGTATACTGGATGTTTCATTATCACACAGCTGTCAATTCTCTATGGGGATCTGTAAATTCAACGCAATACCAATAAAAATCACACAGCACTTACTTGTGAAATTTGGTGAGCATATATAGCAGAAGTCAGGTAGAAGGGCCTATCTCCAAGTGAGCCATGGAGGTGCTGCTCATATGTGGGGGCTGGGGGTCTAGATCAGGATTTTGCAATGGAAGCCCTGATCTTGCTGCCCATATGCTTCCCCAGCTCCAGCTGGAGGTGAGAGGAAAACAAGAGAAAACTGAGAGGGAAATGCTGTATCAGCTCATCTTATACTCAGGTGACACTACAGCTAAACATTTTTTTGAAATTAAATGAGTGCATAAGATATGTATAAGTGCTTTGTAAAGAATAAATGATTACATGATTGAAGAAGCGTAATGTGGGATCCTCCTCGATGGAGCAACAGGTTAAAGTGCAGCACTATGAAGCTGTCCACAGCCCTTCAGCCTGAGTTCAATCCCCAGCCAGGGAGCTGACCCACACAGAGTGGTAGCCCTCTCCTGTCTCCCCGCTGCTCCCCTCAGCAGTGTGTTTCAGTCCATCTGCCTGCTCTGCTCCCCACTCTGTCTCTGGTGAATCCTCTCACCCCCCCCCCCCCCCCCCCGCCGCACCTCTGGCCTATACACCAGTTCCGTATGCATAAATAAGTCTTTTATTTTTTTTTTTAAAAAGCATAATGTAGATATTAGCTGACTATCTCCCCTTTGATTCTCTTAGTTGTGGCCTACAAAATTTGATCCAGAGATGGTCCGCCCCACCTTGGAGAAGACACTCAAGGTGCTCCAATTAGATTATGTGGATCTTTATATCATTGAACTACCCATGGCTTTTAAGGTAAGTTCAGATGCCTAAAGATTAGATCTCTGATGTTGGCAGCCAGGAGCTTGGAGCAATGTGTATGAAGTCAGTCCATTACTTAGCACCATACAATGTTATCTCATTTTGTTACCAGAAATCAAACAGTATTGACCTAGCCAAACTAATGTCTGCAGAATTATGTGAGATAGATTCAATCCGATGTAATTATTATTATTCCTCACAACTGTACTTAAACTCTCTCCATGAAACGAACGTGTAGTTTCCTAACTGTAGTCCACATTTTGTTGGCCAGCATCTAGTTACAGCCTTGTGTGCAATCACACAATCATACTACCACCACCATCACACTCAATGATGGTTTTACAGCTTCATGGAGGGAAGGAGAAATTGAAAGACAAAATTGGCTACTTGACCATGAGGCAGATGGGATCCATTTGGTCAGGAAGTACAGGGCTGAGTCATTATGTTAAGGGGAAGGATGTCCTAAAGGAACTCGGCAGAGTCTTAGGGACTCCACCCCCTACTCCAGCCCCTTATCCCCTACACCCTACTCCAGTGATTGGAAACTACAACTCCCAGCAATACCAGGGAGAGAACTGGGAGGACCCAAGGGCAGAGCTAGCAGGAATTCTGGGACATTTGGGGGAAAAAATAGGGCGTGATTGCATCTCGCGCTCCCTCGCTCGGGAAGCGGCTCTCCAGACCGCGTGACTCGGTGTATTCAGTCAGCCTAGCCGTAAGGTATTCCACTTACTTTGTATCCCGCTCTCTTTCCCTGGTTGTCTCCTATTCTTTTCCCCTTCTGTAAATAAACCCATTATTGACCCTTTTGTGTGTACCTGCAGTATAACTGAGTTGTGAGCACGGGTGAGGCCCCACAGACAGGTGGCCCAGTCTACTCTGCCCTTCCCTGTAACAATCACAGTTACCAAAATTCCTTTATGCTGCCAAATTGGCTGGCCCTGTTCTGTTTCCTCAAAGTATTTTCCTTGCTGACTCTCTTCTGTGGTCATAACCATGATACACATTGGGAAAGACTCCCCTTTTGATCCAACGTCTTGAGAATCTGGATTTGGAGGCTTTTCAATGACCTTGATAAGCAGGTTTTTACTGGTGAGACTGCAGTTTCATCAACAAGCTATTATCTCTACAAAGCTTTCAGTAGTTCACATTCACATAAGCTCCAAAGAGGAGCAAAAAAACTAAAAATCTTATAGGGTCACTTTTTAAAAAATCTAATCTTTGACCCACAGTTTCTGCTTGTAGTAAAGCACTTCCTTGTTCAGCTAAGCTTCCCAGCCCTCAGCTTAATGATCACCTCTGTCTTGAAATAATACAAAATAGGTAGACACACATCCTTCCCTGCTGGTGCAACGAGTTAGGACACAGCACTGCAAGCTAGTCACAGCTGCTTCAGTGTGAGTTTGATCCCCCACCCTGGAGGTAACCCACATGGCGTGGCAGATCTCTCCTGACCCGCCCTCAGCAGTGTATTTTGTCGATCTGCCTGTTCTGCTCCCTACTCTGTCTCTGGTGAATCCTCTCGCCACCCATGCACATCTGGCCTGCACCCTACTTCTGTGTGCATAAATAAATAAATAAATATTTTTTAAAATAGGTGACACAGATAATATGTGCATTCAGGTTGTATTTCATTGGATGATTCACTTAGGTCAAGAACACACAGCCTGAGTGTTCATAGCTAGAGAGATACTGAGAATTAGATTCTCCCAATTTAACTTTCGCTAGGGTTTTTAGCTTCCTGCTTTAGTTGGAGCTGATTTTTCTAACTCTGGAAGGCTCAGAAACTGAACTTCTGCCATATTTATTTGCATCCAGACGAGAGAATCTTACCTTTCATCATATAAGCCCAATAGCAACAAGCACATTTATCTTTCTTCAGGATCTGACCAAAGACTGCAAAAAATGACCAACAAATTTTAAGACCCCTGGTTTTTCTGAGCCACCTAAAGGTACAACCTTAACAAGCCCATTGTCTGAGTCTTAAACATCTCTAAACAACAACTTAACCAGATGTCATGTTGTTCCATACCCAGAATTGTCACTTTTCACCTGGAGGTGGAAAACTCCTCATTGTCCTCAATCCCATATTGGTTTTACCAACATCACACTTGGTGCATTGCTTTTTATACCCCAACACTTTGTATTAGTATTACTGTTGTATAATACAACAGTTTGAATTAGTTAGGACTCTTGGTACAAATGGCATAAAACAAACTTAGATTGATACTAGCAAGAAAAGGGAACTAAGAATTCCAAGAGGTATCTAATTCAGGCACAACTAAATCCAGAAGTTCAAATGATCTAGCTACACTCTCACTCTTTTTTATCTCCATGCTCTGGCTGGTTTCACTCTCAAAATTCCTTCACTCTCTGTAGGCAAAATGTCCATTGATATGCCAAGCCTACATTGTCAACATAAGAATTCACGGAGACTGTACAATAAACCTTATTATAAATACTGACCAGTCTTGCTTGGTCAAAGTACCTGTTACTGAACAATCTCTGCTCTAAGAGCATGAATGAAGTCTTTGGTCAAGAGTGGGAGGTGGATCAGCTCCCCCAAATTATATGGTATTACCTCCTCCAGAAAAGATGGCATAGAGATAGCAAAATAACAGATTTCCACAGTATCAGTAATTAGTGGTGTACTGGTTAGAAGCATGGGCTCCAGAGTCAGGATCCCTTGTTTGACTTTTAGTTCTGTCACCTGCAAGCCAGGTGACTGGGTCAAGGTGTTACTTGATCTCTTCCACATCAATTCAACATGGTGTGGTGGAAAGAGAATCAGCACTGGAGTCCCACAAAGGAAGGAATGACCTTCTGTTTTATTACTTGCTAGCATAGTCACTTTCCTCTCTTGGAACTTCTAAACATTAGTATCAATAAAATGCAGTAAGGCCCTCCCTGGTGGTGCAGCAGGTTAAAGCACAGCACAAGGAAGCTTAAGCCACTTCCGCATGAGTTCAATCCCAGCCTGCCCCGGAGGAGATCCACATGGCATGGCAGACTTCTCCTGACCCGCCCGCAGCTCCCCTCAGCAATGTACTTCGTTGATCTGCCTGTGCTGTACCCCACTCTATCTCTGGTGAATCCTCTCACCCTCCGCATCTCTGGCCTGTACCCCAGTTCTGCACGAATAAATAAATAAATCTTTTTTAAAAAATGCATTAAGTAATAACTTCCCAAGTGCTGTGGGGAGTCATTAAAATTTTAACTGTGGGCCCTCCCTGGTGGCGCAGTGGGTTAAAGCACAGCACTAAAATTAAATCTGTGAAACCACTAAAATAATATCTGGCAATATATAGATAATAAATGAAAGACAATGTAAGATGGAAAGGAACGTAGCAGACACATATGCTGGTAGCCTTATTTCACAGCAGAGAAAGTTGGGGTGTGAATCAGTGGAAGCGCCCACTGACCAGAACTTCACCCTGATACTGGGTCACCAAATCCAATGCTGGACTTGGCCTCTACCACCCTACCTCTTCTGCTCTTTCATCACACGCCTAACGGTCCTAATACCTTTTGGATGATGGTCATTTCTCAATTTCAGACTCTTGGGATTATGACCTCTCCCCTCCTCCTCACTCAGTCAACTTCAACTTTTGTTCAAACAGCAGGTTTCTCCTGCAGGGATTACAATCAAGATGGAAAAAAAAATGTGCAAAATGATGTAAAAATAAACTTTGTAATAAATAAATAAATAAAAAGAAAAAAAAAACAGCAGGTTTCTAAGTCAAATCTTAAAGATTTGCAAAGAACCTGCATTAAAAAGTGAGAAAATGAAATTGACGCTCTGTAGCTGATTCATGACTTGTAAAATCTTTATGAAGAAGGAAAACAGAGAATTTCTTTTCCTATACTTAGATGGGTCCAAGATAAAAGGACACTAAAGACAAGAGTGAGAGATGACATAATATAGTAACATTACTTCCCATCTAATTTATGATTCCTATCATTGAGAAATCAATCTTTGACATCAAGATATCATATGCTTTTTAAATATCATGTTTTTTTAGACAAAAGCCCTTCTTGCAAGAATATTTTAGCACATTATTACTTTTAAATGTCATGTTAACAAGCAGACACAACTTCAGAACAACAAAATATGAAAAATTATAAGACATTTTTAAAAGATACAATTATTGCTGAAAAAATGAGAGAGCCAAGAGCACAGTTTTTTAGAAGATTGAATTATTCTTATATTAATGCCTTGCAGTGAGGTTCCAGGTAGAGAAATAAGACAGAGTTTACCAATGTGAAGAAATTAGTAAATTAGTTACAGTGGACACCTAAGGAGATAGAACAAACATACCATGTTTTAAAATTATTTCAGTAAATCTGGGCAAGTAAAAATTATTTCACAGAGTTCATGATGGAGGCATAAAGCCATTCAGAACAAAGTAAAATTAGGAATTACAAAAGACAAGAAATAGGGAGTGGAAAATGTGGGTCACAGTGTTGACCAGGTGAAAGAGTTTAGAAATCAGAGTCAGGGCCCTCCCTGGTGGCACAGCACTGCAAGCTGACCGCAGCCTCTTCACTGCAAGCTCGATTCCTGGCCCTGGAGGTGACCACATGGCGCGGCAGACCTCTCCTGACCTGCCCGCTGCTCCCCTCAGCAGTGTACTTTGTTGATCTGCCTGTTCTGCTCCCCGCTCTGTCTCTGCTGAATCCTCTCACTGCCCCTCCAACTCTGGCTTGTACCCCAGTTCTGTATGCATAAATAAATAAATCTTTCTTAAAAATCAGAGGCAGAAAAGATAATTAATACAATAGCCAGATGGCATTGAGGAGAGAGATGCGTTTTTCATATTCTCGTTGAGATAGGAGGAAATTGTCTTTGCTAAAGAGGACAACGGGAAAAGTTAATCCAGCTGAATTTCATTCATGTGACAAGGCAGAGGGAAAAATTTTAAAGGACATAATGGATTTTATCCAGTTGTATTTTCAACAACAAAAATTCCCAATATCAAGGTTTACAAAGGTTTCTTCCCTGCCGGCCAAATCCAGTAGACAGGCTATCGTCACATTACTCAGTCTCTTCTCATACAGTTCACTACAAGCACCTGTATTTCATGCTTTCTCTGAGGTCACCTACTCATGCTGCACTGGCAGCTAATTCTCTGCCTGTCCCCAAATGTTATGTCTAGGATCCCTCTGTCTTGAGGGTTCTCATTTCAGGAAGTCACTCTCTCTATAGGTGATCTCACCTCAATTCGCCTACGGGCTACAGGTAGCAGCTAAAATAACCAGGCCATCATATAACTGGGGAAAATGTGTTTATATGAGAACAGGAATCACAATTCATGTCCACAACTAGTGACCTGTTCAAAGCTGTGTTCCACCAGGGCCAGAGAAATGTTTAAGGACGAATCAGGAGTGTAAGCTAAGCTCTGTCATTGTGAAAATTTGTATTGGCTGCGGTATGGGGTATTTTGTGACAATCTCTAGAGTCTCTTGTTTTCTAATTGCCTCTAAAAAGAAAACAAACAGTTGTTGTTCTGGTTGCCATTAGATAGGGAGTTGAATTAGGCTGCTGTTCAGGTTGCACACGACACACGGCAAGTCACTCCACATGGCAAGAACTCAACATGATGGCTAAAGACAAGGTGGGGTCTGTTAGATTCAAGATCAGCTCCACGAATACCATTTTATATGCTGGCGACTCCCAAATTTTGTCTGCAGCCATGAGGTCTCCCCGAGCCTCTCTGTGAGATCTCGCTGTTCAATTGCCACAGCAAATAGTCACTTGAATATCTAGTGGTCACTTCAAATGCAGAACATCCAAAACAAAACTCTTGATTCTTACCCCAACCTTAGGAGATGATTACTACCATTAATTCCAGGAGCCTGAAAATCTTTCATTTCTCTCTTTTCCATTTCCAACCCCATAAATAACCAAAAAAGGAGAAATGGAAAATCAATGTTCCAGGCCATAGTCAGTCTTAGTTGGAAAAGGATCACCCAAAAACTTGAGGAGGTGGTTTGACATGCCATGTGAGAGGGAGGTTCTGAACTCCTGGCAGGCCCACAGAGGGAAAGAGAGACTGGACAAGTTGGCTAGAATTGAGAAATTACGCACTGTGCATTTCCTGACACTTAAGGAACATTCCAGTAATCTCATGTACTTATCTTAGCGGAATAATTTCCTCTTTGGTATCTAATGAAAGTAAGAAATTTGCTTCGCTCAAACAAATCCTGTGACAGGGGTAGACTGTCAAAACAGTGAGTCGAAAAGTTCTAACTCTCAACTTCTAGTCCTTTTCTTTAATGAGCAATTTTGTCAATAAGAGAAATTTTATAACTTAAGAACAATAGTCTGTCGACTGATGAAGGAAAAATAAATGTCAGTGTGAGATGAGACTAATGTTGGACAAATGAATTTCTAGACAGCCTCACAAAAGGGAAAAATAAATACATGTATATGAATGGCTCTCTAGAGCCAGAGTATATCGACAGCTCAAACCTCCTACTTTAAATTCCCAGATAAAAGTAAGTTATACTTGCTATCTTATTTTTCTGTAGCCTGGAGATGAAGTTTATCCTAAAGATGAGAATGGTAAATGGCTATATCATAAGACAGATTTGTGTGCTACTTGGGAGGTAAGTTCAAGGTGGCTTTTGGGGGTGACAGTGAGAATGGTGGTGGGGCACACTTTAATTTCAGGGAAAAAAATTTAAAAGAGAAAGAAGGATGCTTACATAGATGGGCAGAAAGAGCTGTCCCAAAAAGGGTCAGGTTCGTGAAGAGAGACACCTGCATAGTCACAGGTGGGCAGGATGGCCTCTGGTTTACTTGTCAAGAGTATACTTTAAATTGGTCTGCTTATTCCTGTCTGATTTATGAATATCGAGATAGTATATAGAGCAAAAACCCTATAATATATTAGAGATTTAAACATTATTGACCTACTTGAGCTACTTGACGTTTATAGAATGCCTCACCAATATAGTTTAGAAAGCGATTTTTTCAAGTGCACATGAAACATTTAACAAACTAGACCTTTTTTGGAGGCATGAAACAAATCACAATACATATAAAAGTATTTTCTATGCAAAGTAGGCTGTATGATAAAATTGGAATTAAACTTTAAGTCAGTAACAAGAAAGTATATCTAAAAAATTAATATTTGGAAACTAAGAAGCATATACATATATAAATAACCCATAATATGAAGAAAAGTCACAAAATATATATTTATATATAATACCAGAATGTTAGCAACACACAATTAAAAATGGAATTAAAAATATGAAATACTTAAAGATTAATAAAATCTGTGTAAGTTTTACATAGTAAAAAGTACAATCAATTATTTAAATGTTGAAAAATCCAGATAAATAGGGAGATATACTATGTTCTTTTGATTTTTTTTAAAAAGATATTTATTTATACATGCATAGAAGAACTGGATACAGGTCAGAGGTGTGGGGGATGAGAAGATTTACCACCAGAGACAGATTGGGGAGCAGACCTTTCCCGTCCCACCCACTGCTCCCCTCGACAGTGTATTTCAATCAATTTGCCTGTTCTGCTCCCCACTCTGTCTCTGGTGAGTCTTTTTTTTTTTTATTTAAAAACAAATTTATTTACTATTTTTTCTTTCAATTTTTATTATAATAGTTTATTTTTACATCATTTTATGCCTTTTTCCATCTCAGTTGTAATCCCCCTGGGCTTCCCATCACCAATTCACCAGTGTGCCATCATCTGTTGAAACCTTTTACACCCCCAACCTCTGGCCTGTAACCCAGTTCTTCTATGCAAAAATAAATACATAATTTTTTAAAATTCAGGAACATATGGATTAATCTATTTTACTAATAAGAGGTTTATGACCTATTCTTTTAAATTATTGAGAACACAGGAAAAGCTAGACCTTTGTGTACACATATGTATTAGAGAGAGGTACAGAGACAGGAGAGATTTGCATCTAAAAATAGAGAATGTACATTTCCCATATATGCCAGATATTCATAAAAATTGACCCACTGCCATGGCATAAATAAAACCTCAACAATTTTAAGAAATAAGATCACTAGAATGTGCTGGTCAGTGGGGGCCTCCCCTGGTGGTACAAAAGGTTAAGTCTCAGCACTATGAAGTACCACAACCACTGCAGCACGAGTTCGATCCCCAACCAGGGAGCTGACCCACAGGGCACAGCAGACCTCTCCTGTCTCCCACTGTTTCCCTCAGCAGCGTATTTCAGTAGATCTGCTTGTTCTGCTCCCTGCTCTGTCTGTGGTGAATCCTCTCACACACACACCTCCCACCCTGGCAACTCTGGTCTACATAAATAAAATAAATCTTGAATGCATAGCTAAATAAAATAAATCTTAAAAAAAACACAAGGGGAGAAAATGGTGTACCATACTTGCCAAACTCATTCAGTCACAAAGTTTCCATCAGTGGCTTTGTTATGTCTTCCTTTAACGACTGCTAGCATACCCAGGGACTTTCCTTTTTAAGAATTCATAGTCACCATTAAAAAGATTCATTCTTGATTGTTTTGAGTTTTCATCCTTCACTCACTGGCATTTACTGTCCAGGCTTTGGAAGCCTGCAAAGATGCTGGCTTGGTGAAATCCCTTGGAGTATCCAATTTTAACCGCAGGCAGCTGGAACTCATCCTGAATAAACCGGGGCTCAAATACAAGCCAGTCAGCAACCAGGTACAGCTTACCTCAGGAGTGGAGGGGGAAGAACGGGGTGGGCGGTGTCGAGAGTCCAGTATTTACTAAACACAAAGGATTCTGGACTCTAAAGTCATGGTGATGTTTTACAACTATCTCATCCTAAAAGAAAAAAATTCACCTTTAAATTGAGTTTTGTATGTGCTTTACTGCTTGTGAAAATATCCTTTGACGTCAGATAGCCAGAAACAAAGGTTTCACGTAACACGTCACTTTGACCTACAAAAGCTGTCATCTGAACTTGGAGCCTGTTTATTATGGAAAATTGCATTTGCTGGAATGTTTACTGTCACTGACTCTGTTGACTTGAAGGTTTAAACCATGATAGTTATACAACCCTGAATGGATGCCCCAATTATTTTAGGATTAACATACAGCTGATGTCTTCACTAATCTTGTTTTCATTAATTTCACAAGTATAGAAACCATGGCAACTTTCCTATGAGGAAAAATATGTGGGACTTGCCCCCTTTCTCCAGGATATTTTACATGGATTTCATTGAAGACACCTTTAAAACTGTAAAAATGTATTGGTCGACATGCCTTAACTTCACACTGTGATCTCCACTACAATCATATAGGTGGAGTGTCATCCCTACTTCACCCAGCCTAAACTATTGAAGTTTTGCCGACAACATGACATCGTCATTGTAGCGTACAGTCCTTTGGGCACATCGCGAGATCCATCGTGGTAAGTCAGACTGTGCAACCTCTGGACTGCTTCCTTCTTGCCTCAGCAACATCACAGTGATGAAGAAACAGGAGTCTGGAGTTGGCTGCAGGGTGCAGGTGTTGCTCAAGAGCAAGATCGGTCTTTCTGTTGACAGAAATTCTCCCCTCTTTCCCCCCTCCCCTCCTCCAACTGAACACTGGATTTGGGCGTTGGGGAGGGTGAGCCAATGGTAGACTCCCGACTTCCACCAAGGCTCTAATCTTATTAACAAGGCAGTCCACTGATCAGTCCCTGGGGTGCAAAGCACATCAGTATTGCCCCAGAGCGATCAAGCATTTGCTCTTGTCTAACTCCAAAGGAGCCTTGTACGCTACACCCACTTTTCCTTGGGTGTACAGTAACATGAACCACGTGAAGGTCTTGACTGGAATGACTCTGGCTATGGGATCATCTGCATTGACTTCCAATTACTCTTCAGCCACACAAATTAGGGCTAATAGAACCCTCCTCGCTGGGAAGCAATTCTATGACTTGTATAAAATTACTTAGAGGTGTCTGAAACAGGAAATCTCAACAAGTGTTAGTTATTACGGCACAGCTTTTATGATTATGTTCTGAATATTTTAAAATTTTCTCTCTGTATTCAGCAGCAACAGTTCCATTGTAATGTGTTCCACAGACCTAAGTAGAAAGTTTCCTACTCAAAAATGGTTCCAAGAGTTGTGCCTTTTCATTTCTTCCTCTTAAGTCTTGCTGTCATCCCCTAAGGCCTAATGACAACCCACTTCTCTCTGTAAGTCTGATCCAAGAAATACTGTTTACCTTCTAAAAGAGGGCGTTCTCTAAACTTTTCTCTGTTCCCATCCTAAAAGTAACTCTCTGAGTCGTTTGCACTGAGAATTGGTAAGTTAACAGGAGAATGTGAACATGGAGGAGGGCAATTCATTTGGTTCTCTTTGCGTGACATAACTGACATTTGCTTCTCTATTATTTTAAAGGGTGAATACAACTATCCCACCTCTATTAAAAGATGAACTTCTAATATCCCTGGGGAAAAAGTACAAGAAGACAACAGCTCAAATTGCTTTGCGATTCAACATCCAGCGAGGAGTGGTGGTCATTCCTAAAAGCTTTCACCCTGAAAGGATCAGAGAAAACTTCCAAGTAAGAAAATTTCTTCTCAAAAATATCAAAAATGGCTTTTCTTTAATTTTGAGAATTTTCTGTTTTTATTAAGAAGAAGCTGGTAATACCTTCATATTTCACGTTATACCAGCTCCTGGACTTACCCTGCCAATAGCTGGGTTTAATTTAGCTTACTTGAGGCAATTGCTAGCATTTCAGGAACAGCTTTGCTGCTCATATTTTCTAGTTCCCTTATTTCTTCATGTGCTTCCCTGTGTAAACAGGGTGCAGGTCAGAAGTGTAGGAGATAGAAGGGCGGAGTGAGACAATTCACCAGAGACAGAGTGAAGAGCAGAACAAGCAGATCCACTGAAATACAATGCTGAGGGGAGCAGTGCGTGAGACAGGAGAGGTCTGCTGCACCATGTGGGTCACCTCCCTCGCTGGGGATCGAACTCAGGCCATCATGGTGGACCTTCTCATTGAGACTTCACCCCGAGGTCGCCAGGGAGGCCCTCCCTGTGAACTCCTGCCACTACCCACTCACTTCTCCACCAGCCCCACAGGACTGGCATGCAGAATTATTTAAACTGGTGTTAGTCAACTTTCTACCTTCTTAGCGGCTCTGTAAAAGTTGGGGATAGATTTTGGAAATTACTGAAGAGACTTACTTAGACTTCATGAACACTGATGCCTTATTCCCTCTGTAAGTCATCTGTGACCAGCATGATCACTTACAGGTGAGGAAAGATGTCACTGTGGGAGTGATTAGTTTGCCCTGTTGTTAATAACCACTAAATAGCTAAGCAAGGACAGCGATGGGAAAGCACCCGGTAAAATTAATCAACTACCTGTCAGGTTATAATTTAAATTTCCTAAGTTGTTTGTTGTCTTACTTATAACTACTGATGAAAGTGACACAGGGGGACCTCCCTGGTGGCTCAGGTGTTACCAAGCTATCCCAGCCACTGCAGCAGGAGTTCGATCCCCGGCCAGGGAGGTGACCCACGCATGGCAGATCTCTCCTGTGCTGCCGGCTGTTTCCCCTCAGCAGTGTATTTCAGTAAGTCTGCCTGTTCCGCTCCCCACTTTGTCTCTGGTGAGTCCTCTCACTCCCGCACCTCTGGCCTGTATCCCAGTTTTTATATGTATAAATAAATAAAAATAAATCTTAAAAAAAAAAAACAAAAGAGTTAAGTAGAATTCTTCCTCTCAGGAAAAATGTAGATGATATGTGGGAAAAGAGGTACTTGGACATGCTTGTACTAGAAATGTTAAATGGTATAACACTGAGAGAAAGAGGGGAGTCATTTTCCCAGATCCATGAGAATGGGGGTGGGCAGGTACACTGAGTAACAATCTTATCCCAGTGATATCTTTGCACTTACATGAGTGTCCGTTAGAGTATTTCTTATATATCACGTTTTTTAAACTGGAAACAGTATTTAATATGATATATTTTTACAGTGACTCATGAGATAGACATTTAAAAACAACAAAGAGAAAAATATAAGCGCTGTTATGAGAAGATATCCATGACATTAGACAATTTATCTTCAGTAAAGACAAATTGTCTGTCTTTTTTACAACCACATGACAGAACACAACTCAAACTCAGCAAAGAGAATGAGATGTAATTTATGACTCACATAACTAGAAGGTTCATGGGTAGATCAGATGAGACTGGGCACAGATATTTAAATGATTTGTGAAAGGATTTAGCATCCTCTCTCTCTCCACATGGTGGCACTAACAGGATTTCTATCAATCTCTGAATGTCGCTTTGTACGTCAGAAGCTAGAACCATAACATCTTACCGTAACAAGATAACTTAACTGGTCCCCTCAGGTGCATCCCCAATTCTTGTGGCAAACACCCCCCTAGATGGGGAAAGAAAAGTTCATGAAAGGAGAAAAGGATACTATTACTAGCAGAAAGGGTGTGAGTACTAAAAACCTATTTCAACTATGGACAGTCTTGTAACATTTGCCAGCTATCTTAGAACAGTGCCGGAATAATGTGTAGGTTTATCAAAAATTAAAACAATTTTTAAAAAAGATTTATTTTATGCATATAAGAACTGGGGTACAGGCCAGGGATACGGGGGTGCACCAGAGACAGAATAGGGAGCAGGACAGGCAGATTGCCAGAAATCCACTGAGGGGAGCAGCAGGCGGGTCAGGAGCGGTCTGCTGCTCCATGTGGGTCCCTCCCTGACTGGGGATTGAACTCGTGCTGCAGTGGCTGCCAGTAACTTCATAGTCCTGAGCTTTTAACCCCTTGTGCCACCAGGGAGGCCCCAAAATTAAAACAAATTTTGATGCACTCAAATGAGTACGTTCATGGATTTCAAAATTTTACAGGAATCAAAAGTTGCCAATGCTCCGAACAATGGAAGGTGCTAAGCTTTTAGGTTGAAGACATTTGGCAGATTGTAGGGAAAAAAGATTCCCAGAAAAAAAATCTTGGAAATAATCCATAGGGGAATGATCAAGTAAATCGTTAAACTTATGCTATGAATGTCGTAGTTAAACAAAGTTAGTGTGTTTGTTATGGTGGGAAAGATCACCAAGACATACTCTGTAAATGGAAGAAAGTTGCATAGTAATTAAGATTTCATAAAATTATTGCATTTGGCTCTTATTGCATTGAATGTTTGGAAGGAACATTTAGGACAAAGAGTCAGACTGGGCTGGTGTGTAAGAAAAGGGACTTTCATTTGTTATTCCATACACACTCGTGAACTACAGTGTTTAATTTCCTCACCAAAAACATACTGAGTCATTTGTATAGTTAAAATCTATAAATGGTTAAATATATAAAAAGACTAGTTCAAGAATAGGAACAGAAAGATAATTACAAATAGGTAAAACATATGTTAAAAATTACATATTAGGGCCCTCCCTGGTGGCGCAGCGGGTTAAAGCATTGCACTAAGAAGCTAAAGCCACTTCCACATGAGTTCGATCCCTGCCTGCCCCGGAGGAGATCCACATGGCGTGGCAGACCTCTCCTGACCCGCCCGCTGCTCCCCTCAGTGGTGTACTTCGTCACTCTGCCTGTGCTGCTCCCCACTCTGTCTCTGGTGAATCCCCTCACCCTCCGCATCTCTGGCCTGTACCCCAGTTCTGTATGAATAAATAAATAAATCTTTAAAAAAAAATTACATACTAAATAAAAATAACAATGTTCCTAAGTCAGAGTATAAAGTACTTAAGGTTAGGAAAAATAAAACAGTGATAATACAAACAGAACAAGAAGGTAGATGAGGCTTTAAATATTATAAGAGAGAAGATTAAGAGAACAAAACAAAATAAATGAAGCATTAGTAAAATACAATTAGTAAAATGCAATTTTTTTTTAAGTGTCCCACGGGCAAAGTCCAGAACCAAAAGTTTAGCATCCTTTACAGAAACAATAAGAATGCTGCACCCTGGGGGTGTCAGGGGGCCCAGACTTCTATTGCTGCACATCATGTGGGTGTGTTACCAGCAGCACACAGCAGAGTTGTCTCAGAGACAAAGGACAAAACAGCCAGAGCGCTCTGGTTACTGCAGCGAAGCTATAGTCTGAAGGGCTCCCACTGGCACCCTGAGCCCTCCCCACCCCCCC